TACCACTGCAGTGAGTGAAATTTAATGAACCTTTCACAGAATCTTTATTACATATTGCCATTGTGCACCTCCCATTTTACTTTTTGATTCGACACATATTTTGGGTTTCCCGGCCACAGTAAAACATGGATTTGTCATCAGTTATAACCATATGGGAGGCAGTGGGTATCATTTAGTGAGCTCATTGCTCACAGTACCTCTAGTTAAATTTTGTTTTAACACTAATACATATGTACAAGTGTACATATATATTTTTTACTGTTTGCTATTTGAAAAGATTATTATTATTCACACAAAATTGAACTATAGATTATACAGTACCGGTACTTCACAGACGAATGAAAGAGTCTATATAAACAAAAATAACTCAATATTTCCAGCACATTCTTAACCTAGATCTATTTTGTCAATACATATAGTACAGTTTTGGATATATATAATAAATTTAAAGTTTAAAAGATAGAAGCTATTATAAAATAAAACAATGACATCAAAACAAACATGCTGTTTTCCTATTTTCTGCTTATGAACCATGACCATATTTAAACCAGAAGTCTCTGTCGAGACTGTAGCTCTACTGGTTTGTACTTATAACAAAGGATGAGAAAAGAAGCCATTGCCATCAGACCAAAACTGTAGGATGACTAGCGTTTTAAAGGAATTTCAAGAAAATTCTATTTTTAGTAACCATGGCAACACCGTTCATCGAAATCAAAAACCGATGCACTATTTTATGTATCTTAGTGTAGTCTACTTGTGTGCCAAGCAATATTGGAATCAAATCAAAACTGTAGGAGGAGTAGCGTTTTAAAGAAATTTCAAAGAAAATTCTATTTTTAGTAACCATGGCAACACCGTTCATCGAAATCAAAAACGGATGCACTATTTTATGTATCTTAGTGTAGTCTACATGTGTGCCAAGTAATATAGAAATCAAATCAAAACTATAGGAGGAGTAGCGTTTTAAAGGAATTTCAAAAAAAATTCTATTTTTAGTAACCATGGCAACACCGTTCATCGAAATCAAAAACCGATGCACTATTTTATGTATCTTAGTGTAGTCTACTTGTGTGTTATGTGATATTGAAATCAGACCAAAACTGTAGAAGGAGTAGCGTTTTAAAGGAATTTCAAAGAAAATTCTATTTTTAGTAACCATGGCAACACCGTTCATCGAAATCAAAAACCGATGCACTATTTTATGTATCTTAGTCTAGTCTACTTTTGTGCCAAGTAATATTGAAATCAAATCAAAACTGTAGTAGGAGTAGCGTTTTAAAGGAATTTCAAAGAAAATTCTATTTTTAGAAACCATGGCAACACCGTTCATCGAAATCAAAAACGGATGCACTATTTTATGTATCTTAGTGTAGTCTACATGTGTGCCAAGTAATATAGAAATCAAATCAAAACTATAGGAGGAGTAGCGTTTTAAAGGAATTTCAAAGAAAATTCTATTTTTGGTAACCATGGCAACACCGTTCATCGAAATCAAAAACGGATGTACTATTTTATGTATCTTAGTGTAGCCTACTTGTGTGTTATGTGATATTGAAATCAGACCAAAACTGTAGAAGGAGTAGCATTTTAAAGGAATTTCAAAGAAAATTCTATTTTTAGTAACCATGGCAACACCGTTCATCGAAATCAAAAACCGATGCACTATTTTATGTATCTTAGTGTAGTCTACTTGTGTGCCAAGCAATATTGGAATCAAATCAAAACTGTAGGAGAAGTAGCGTTTTATAGAAATTTCAAGAAAATTCTATTTTTAGTAACCATGGCAACACCGTTCATCGAAATCAAAAACGGATGCACTATTTTATGTATCTTAGTGTAGTCTACATGTGTGCCAAGTAATATAGAAACCAAATCAAAACTATAGGAGGAGTAGCGTTTTAAAGGAATTTCAAAGAAAATTCTATTTTTAGTAACCATGGCAACACCGTTCATCGAAATCAAAAACCGATGCACTATTTTATGTATCTTAGTGTAGTCTACTTGTGTGTTATGTGATATTGAAATCAGACCAAAACTGTAGAAGGAGTAGCGTTTTAAAGGAATTTCAAAGAAAATTCTGTTTTTAGTAACCATGGCAACACCGTTCATCGAAATCAAAAACCGATGCACTATTTTATGTATCTTAGTCTAGTCTACTTGTGTGCCAAGTAATATTGAAATCAAATCAAAACTGTAGTAGGAGTAGCGTTTTAAAGGAATTTCAAAGAAAATTCTATTTTTAGAAACCATGGCAACACCGTTCATCGAAATCAAAAACCGATGCACTATTTTATGTATCTTAGTGTAGTCTACTTGTGTGCCAAGTTATGTTGAAATCAGACCAAAACTGTAGGAGGAGTAGCGTTTTGAAAAATTGTTTACAGACAGACGGACAGACAGACAGACAGACAGACAGACAGACAGCTATACAGTTGAGAGGTACATTGTGCATTTTACGGAAGGTGTGGGGTTATAATTTTGCTTTGTGGGGTTATTAATAGTACAGTGGTGACTTGAGAGGTTTCATTAGGAATTCAAACAAATGGTATATTGTGGGGTTAAAGGTCTATATTTGTGGGGTTAAAGATCTATATTTGTGGGGTTAAAGATCTATATTTGTGGGGTTAAAAATAAATTATTTAATATCAAGTCAACTTTTCGGGCAACTAATTATAAGTACTTAAAATTGTTACTGTTTATCTGAAGAACTTAGAACGGATATTGCAATAACTTTTTTTCAACTACTACCTAGCAGTAACAATGCAAAAAAATGTTTTATTTGAGGATAACTGTTGCATCAAAGTAAATTAACCCATCATGTTTTCACATAAAGATGATAGACAAGAATATTCCAGAGAGTGTTAAACAAACAACCCCACTATGCTATATAGAAATAACAGACAACACTAACCCCATAAATTATAAGACAAACAACCCCAGTGTGTACTCTTATAAAGATAATAGACAACACTAACCCCATTAAGTGTTTGGACAGCAACCCCACTATGTATTCTTATAAAGATAATAGACAACACTAACCCCATAAAGTGTTTGGACAGCAACCCCACTATGTACTCTCATAAAGATAATAGACAACACTAACCCCATAAAGTGTTTGGACAGCAACCCCACTATGTACTCTCATAAAGATAATAGACAACACTAACCCCATAAAGTGTTTGGACAGCAACCCCACTATGTACTATCATAAAGATAATAGACAACAATAACCCCATAATGTGTTTGGACAACAACCCCACTATGTACTCGCATAAAGATAATAGACAACACTAACCCCATAAACTGTTTGGACAGCAACCCCACTATGTACTATCATAAAAATAATAGACAACACTAACCCCATAAAGTGTTTGGACAGCAACCCCACTATGTACACTCATAAAGATAAAAGACAACACTAACCCCATAAAGTGTTTGGACAACAACCCCACTATGTACTCTCATAAAGATAATAGACAACACTAACCCCATAAAGTGTTTGGACAGCAACCCCACTATGTACTTTCATAAAGATAATAGACAACACTAACCCCATAAAGTGTTTGGACAGCAACCCCACTATGTATTTTTATAAAGATAATAGACAACACTAACCCCATAAAGTGTTTGGACAACAACCCCACTATGTACTCTCATAAAGATAATAGACAACACTAACCCCATAAAGTGTTTGGACAGCAACCCCACTATGTACTTTCATAAAGATAATAGACAACACTAACCCCATAAAGTGTTTGGACAGCAACCCCACTATGTATTTTTATAAAGATAATAGACAACACTAACCCCATAAAGTGTTTGGACAGCAACCCCACTATGTACTTTCATAAAGATAATAGACAACACAAACCCCATAAAGTGTTTGGACAGCAACCCCACTATGTACTTTCATAAAGATAATAGACAACACTAACCCCATAAAGTGTTTGGTCAGCAATCCCACTATGTACTGTTATAAAGATAAAAGACAACACTAACCCCATAAAGTGTTTGGACAGCAACCCCACTATGTACTCTCATAAAGATAATAGACAACACTAACCCCATAAAGTGTTAGGACAACAACCCCACTAAGTACTCTTATAAAGATAATAGACAATACTAACCCCATAATGTGTAACAACCCCATTATGTTCTTATATAGATAAAAGATAACATTAACCCCACAAAGTGTTAGACAAGAACCACAATATGTTCTGATAGAAAATATTAGACATCTTAGTAACCTCAGAGTGTTAAACAAACAACCCCGCTGTATTTTCATGTAACAGATACCAGTAACCATATGAATTTAAGTGTTTGAAAACCCCAGTATGTTCTAATATCAAAAAAACTCTACCAGGGACTGGTAATAAAAGAACAAAAACCCCCACTATGTTCAATCGCAACTTCTCGAGCCTTTCTGACTAGCTGACAAATGATCTCGAATGTATTAGTTAGACGCCATGGCAACAACCCCCCCCCCCTTTTCATGATCTTCGAAATAAATGCATGAAGACCTTTTATCTGTGGAATATGGAGTTTAATTTTATTCAATGCTATGATATTACATAAAACTTACTATAAAAGGGACTTCTTACTTCCTCTATCGAAAATTTGAAAAACAAGAAAAACATAACCTTTAACATCAGGTGATGTTAATACATTCGAGGTTGTTTTTCCGAACTCTGACGGAAAGACCCTGAGTGAGATGATACAATTGCCAGTACGTCATATCCTTTTTTTTTTACTATTAAAAATACCAAACTATACTCATAATACCTTTTCCTATTTTGATAACATACTTGAAAATTTGTTTTAAATATTTTTCAAACTACTTTTTAATTGGATAATCTCTTTATCTGAACTGTTTTTTCTAATGGGAATTTTTCCTTTGAATCTGCTGGTGCATGAATTTGAAGTGTACATTATGCATCAAAAGCATACATAATTTCATTGTAAATTAATAATAATAAATAAAAGAGATTACCCTGATTTTTTAAAAAAAGATTTAATCAAACTTTTCAGTTACTCGACAAGATGAACACAGATAAGAAACATGTCAATAAATGTAGAACACAGAAAAAAACCCTCAAAATTTGAGACAATCTTCATAAATGTAAAAAACAAGTATATAGTGAGTTGTCAAATAACTGTAAAACTTGCATGTTGTTGCTACTTATTTTAAACAAAATATATTAATTTAAATGAAGTTTTAAGAAAAAATGTGTAGTCTAATATCTCATCATTTTGCATTTTAAAATTGATATTAAAACAAAAATAACGATGTACATCCTTTTGGAAAATATACTCAAACTTACAGCTGCACCCCCACTCCCATCCCCTAAAATAAAATGAAAAAAAAACAACAACAGGCAATTGATTAACAATTTTCAAAAAAATAAAAATCAAACAACATAAATGTACATTTCAGTTTCATAATTATTTCTCACATTTAAAATGAGATCGCTAATTAAAAAAGACGAAAACTATGACTGTTTCTTAATGTATAGAAATTCACCATGACGAATGCAGTGTTCATAAAAGATCCTTTTGTCTTAAAGCTGAACACTACTCATAAACATAAGTAATCAGAGATTACATAGCTCAATTCAAAAAATGATTACTTCAAGTAAGAAACGGTCTCACATTTAACTAATAATCAAGAAGTTAATTTAAGGTTTGCAGTAACTTGAGAATAGACATCCAAATACTTGAAACAAGTTGCCCATCAAGAAAATGTCATTCAATCCACGACCCCTGAAAATGTTATCTTTTTAAGATCAACTATCAAAAATCGATTCATCTTCTTTTTCTGAAAAGTAAGTCAGGTCCTAAATGTCGCCGTCTGGAGAAGACAATGGCAAGAATGAACCCGGATTGTGCTTGTTCTTCTGAAAAGTCTTTCATTCATACTTCATGTATACCTGTCAAAAAAAAATACAGTAAAATATATTTCTAAATGATAATGTTCAATTTTTTTTTTACAGGCAGGGGATGACAAATCCCATTGCCTGACGCCCGGGGCTAGTGAATTTTAGGGTTGGGCAAGTGAAATTTTATCAACCACTTGCCCGTGGGCAAGTGACTTAATCAATTATCAAAACTAAAATCAATATCTATGCCAATGTTCTACTCAGTATTTTTTATATATAAATTTTTAATAACAGTATAATTTAATGGTAGGGCAGGCAAAAATTCAGGTAGGGCAAGTGAATTTTGACCATGTACTTGCCTTTGGGCAAGTGCCTTAAAAATCCATTTGTCAGCCCCTGACAGGTTATGTTTTAATTTATTGTAAAATAATATTGTTGTCTTGATTTTATGGGCACTTATAACATGTACTAACCATCAATCTGAATGTCTTTGATAGTTGCTTTCCTTAAATTTGTGAACTATATTCAGATCACAAATTGTGTGTTCAAGTCATAGGTTTGTTCTTTCAACTTTATGAATGTCCGACGCCTGCTGGTGTTGCTGCAAAAATAGAGCGGCCTAGATCATCAAAGTTCCACTTATGTTCACTTTCAGTATCTGAACTCTACAAAGGAATAAAGAAGCAAATGTTTATTTATATCACATACAAAAATTCCGAGTTACTATTAAATTAAAATTCATCGAAATTTATTTAAAGCATAGTTGTCATGTACTGTGAACTACTTTCTTATATTGGTAAAAGGTGAAAAAGTACAGTCAAACTTGTTTTAAGCTTTGGGAAGTCCAGAAACTAGCCACTTAACACAGGTGACCTCTTATTCCAGTTTGCCCAAGAAGTAGCCAGTCAGTCAATAAATAAACAGCAATAACCACTACAGTTGATTTAATTAAACATGTCAATTTCACAAAACCTTTGTATGTGTGTATACATATATTAATCCATGCCTATTTAAAAAAAATATGAAATTAAAGAATTCCAAATTAAATTTTTAAGGTTTTGTGCATTTTTCTGTTCCTACAAAACAGTTCATAAGTGTTCAGAGTTCCAGAAACGCACCGGTCCACCGGGGATCCCCGGTGAACTTTGAATGGGACCGGTAAAATCTTAATTTTATTGGTCAAAATGTCCGATGGTTTTTTTTTTTTTTTACAGACTGTATAACCTTTACATATAATCTTAACAAAATCATTTAATTCAATTGTCCTGACAATAAACAAATGAAAAACTAAAGGAATGAAAAAAAAAAAACGTCAGGGCATCGCCAGAACTTGTTTAAATAAAATGTAGACGTTGATTGTCTACTATAAAAAGCTACATATTAAAATAATAATTTCCATAAGTCTGGGAGGAAAAACAGCTTTAAAAACACTGTCAACAAATATTTTCCCTGATAAATATATGCACTCTGTAGTTCTGACAGTAAAAAAAATGTGACAATCTACTTTCGTTTTGAAGGACGAATTTGCAGGGTTGCAAGAGTGCCTGCTATTTCTGCTTGATTACAGACAATTTGTTACCATTTATTATTTTCTCTATAATTTAATCTATTAGCATGATAATATTATACCAACTTCTGGATTTTTTTAAATGTATTTGATAGCATTTAAAATACAAGCGCGTTTTTCCCCTTTTCTAAAAATAGCGGATTGACTTGAATGTAGTAAAACGACAACAAATTCACTTAAAATCATCATTTTCATGATAAATTTGCATATCTTTATATCATTAGTACATATTTTTAACTGTGTGGAGGTTGTATAATAAATTTTAACTAGTCAGAAATATCGGGCGTTTTACCAGGCTTTTTAAAACGAGTTTGATATTTTACGTAATATTTTTCCTGGCACATAAAATACAAAAATCCAAAAGAAATAAGCCTGGAAAACAACATATTTTCCAAACAATCAACCAAGAGTTGTCATGTTGCAGATTTTATTTTTAAAAACATTTTAAAAATCTGTCAGAAAGGACATAATAAATTTATACGATGAATTAAGCGTTGGTCATCACACGCCTTCGGCGATGTCAAATCCTGCATACACAGGCCTTATACAAAATATTTCAATAATTTTTTTTTTAAATCTGCCATCTTTTTATTTACACATATCATTTATTATATCGTTACAATTTCCAATCCTATAATATGTTAAATTTACATACAAAAAATTAATGTCCGGTAAATTTTACAACTGTCCGGTGAATTTTAAATATTTACAAGACAATTGTCCGACATATTTTTGACTAGTTTCGGGAACTCTGAGTGTTCTTTTGTAACATTCAAATCATTCAAGAAGAAATACATGTGCCTTACTACTATCTATTTTTTTAATAATAAAAAATATAAAAGCTTTAATTAAAAGACAGTTTAATGGTGAATTAAATAAAGTATAAAAATTTATTTCAGTAAGTGTCAATAAAATTTATTTAAAAACTTCACTTTAATATGTTCAGGTAATGATCAGCAGTGTAACCCCCCCCCCCCCCCCCTTCAATTAATCCTCGATCAACTACTTTGCTGAAGTTTTTAAAGTCTGGTAAATTTTTAATATTATTTTTATAAAGCTGTCGGAATTTCTATCTAACATACAGACACACACAAAAAATTATTCAATTGACCAAAGATTTGTATTAACGCAGTTTAAAATCATTCTACTACAACACAGGTGTCAAGTGCAGCAGAGCGTAACTAATCCCTATCGATCGTCTCCTGATGGTGAAATTCACGAGATAATCATGCTATACAAATCATTTGTTTTGACAAGAGTTGCAATTAGAGCTTCTACACGGAATCAAAATCTAACAGGTGTGAAAATACTGATAGACCTGTATTAGCTAAGTTACATACTCTCACTGTAAATTTTCAAAGTAATGATGAATTAATATTGTAAATTACAAAATGAAGCTTTAACCTTGAATTTCTTTAAGTTTAGATATAGAAAAACTATTAATTGTGATTTAATTCTTTTAAATTTTCAATGGTCGATCTTGAAAAATAAGTACAAATTGATCTTACAGGACAATTATATTTTTTCCATTAACACAAAGAGAGTTATATATACGTATCTAAAGGTAATTTGTCTAATTTCTATAATAGGTGAATTTTTTTATCCGGCACATAATTACACAAGCGACTGTGTAAGCAATGTGACATATTGGGTATTTTAACAACTGATTAAAATGTCCTACACTCATTTTAAATAATAAACATTGATTGTCATTTATCAAATTGATATACCACTAAATTTTACAACCTAATTATACAACCCCATGTTGATTCCTACGAAGCCTACTTGATGCGAAAATTTATTGCAGTGACATTAATTCCATTTTTCCATTCTGATTTTTTCTCTATAGATTAAGGTACGATTACAAGAACATGTAAACAAATGTGTGAAGAGTAGATAAACAATTGGTACGTATCTAGAATGAATTGAGAGAGAGAGAGAGAGAGAGAGAGCAATTATACTACGAAACAGGATAAAATTAAAGCCAAAAATATTCAATTTGAAAAAATTTAAACACGGATGATTTAAAAATTAATCGGAAGGGGCGGAAGAGGCGTGAAAAATCCAGAGATTTTGTCTCCCGTCGGAAGAATCACATGTATTTATGTTATGAGATATCTGCATGTAATTACCATAGATATAGAGAAAATTCGAATTAAGAAAAAAACACGATCGTTTTTTGAAGTAAATAAGCCAAGTAGTACTCCAACACGGATTAAATTATGGAGATTTATTGACAGTTGGAGCATGTTATATGGAAAATTTAAATGGTTTGGATTTTTGTTGCAAAAAACGAGTGAAAATACGTACCAGGTTTGCTTTGCATGTATTGCACGTGTATAAATAATATTATCTTTTTTTACTGGCCAACGGGGCGACCCTCTTGCAGAAAACCACTAGCCCGACCCCCGGGTATCGGTCGATTTTCATTGCAGACCTCTGATTAAAAAAAGAACTATCAGTGCATTCAATAATTATAATTTTTTTCACAAAAGCCCGTTTTCAATCGGTATGTGTTTATGTGGACTACAAGTGTCCTTTCCTTGACTTTAAATAAATTCTACAACTGCATAATGTACGTATGAATCATATCAAACAACTTACAAAGCTTTTTTTCAATGTGGTGCAACAAAATAGTAAGACTTACTGCATTTGCTTTTTGTGTTTCCGAATTTCCTCACTGCTAATCCAAACACAGCTACTTCCGTATTCTGCGCATGCGCAGTTAGTTTTAAATATATGCGCATGCTCAGGTATTCGGAACTCCTCGATTCAATTACCGAACTCCTCTAAACAGCAGATTTCTGAATGTCTGAGCGTTTTGGGCTAAGGACATGTCCAAAATTTGGACAAAGTCTTTGTGAGGTTAAATCTAATTTTAGGTTTTTCGACCTCATAGAGTAATTTTGAACGTAATTAGACCTCTTCATTATGGGGTTAACCCCACAGTACCCAAAAAACCCCACACTGCTGGAAAATACGTTAATTTTACCCCACAATGTACCTCTCGTAAGAACAGACAGACAGACAGACAGACGGACGGACGACGGACACCTTACTATCGCATAAGCTCTTCTGGTCTCTGACCAGTAGAGCTAAAAACTTAGCTACTTTATGTTTGTGCTCAAACATTATAAACGTTTGATGCACTTTTTTTTATAGAAACAAACTTGCTCTGGTTAAATATTTTAACAACACAATTCTGTAAAATATGTGCCTAATGCCAATAAAGAATTGAAATAATAGGATAAACAATGAATGAAAACTGACAGAAGTGGAAATTTATATCATAAAGATAAATAATATTCACTGAAAAGTCTCTCTCACCACATCATAAAAAGTAAACCTACTTAATGGCACAGATTTTATACAATCTCTATTTCGGGGGAGGGGGGAGTTCAGCTGTATCAGCAAGTGATGTTTATATGCTTCAAATTCATTTTTATTAATAAAAATAATTAATTCATTGGTCAGAAAGTCAAACTGTCAAAAGGTATAGTTCGCTTGATTTGATAAGGACCACTGACCACTACCGGTAAAACAACTGTGTATTGTAAGGCAAATAAAATTAAGAAAATATGCATTTGTTAATCTTGAAATTTTTGTAATGCTCAGTATATACATAAATTTACCTTCTGTCTTCATTGTTTAAGATGTCTAGCCTTCTTTTCTTCTTCCAGACTGTAAAACTTTGATGAGATCTTTCGCCAGAAAATGTTCATTGCTGTTTACTAAATACACATTGTACCTCCAAACGTTAGAGAGTAGTTCAAGGGAAGTAATTAGGAAGCAAAAAATGCTTCAAAATGTAGAAAAAAGTAATCTTTACCTTTGAATTCCTTTTACATCTTTGAGTCTCCCACCAATATTTTACATATTTTGATATAATCAAATATCAGCCTTTCATAATTAATTACTACTAAATTTGTAATCCGTGTGCCTTTTTTGTTTTAAGCCTCCAAAAACTCCACTAAACCAATCACATATCTGATGTTATAATATGTAAAATGGCCATTTACTATTGAGAGATTAAATTAAAACTACAGATATAATTACTTTAATCTGTAGGATTAAATCTAAATAATGAAAACATATTAAGTTATCCCTTTTCATTTCTGGACACAGTTTTTCTTGATAAGTACACGTTTTTCAAAATTAACGAAATTGAGAATTTTGCACCCCGTTTCTATGGCAACCAAGGGTCTATTTCATAAACCCACTTTAGATTTTACAATCAATGACATAGCTGTTTAAAATTATTATAAAAAATCAAAATGTTTTTCTATGCGTGGCCAACCAATTTTGATAATTACAGAGAATTGATATTAAATTGTTGCCGCCGGGCGCATAGTTTTTCACAAACACATCTTGTTTGCATTATTATTGAAACATCTTATATTAACAGCCAGTACTTGGAAACTTAAAAAGATCTCTCGTGCTGACGTTTAGTATTAAATGAACAATTAATGACGATTTTTAATGTCCTTCTGATAATCAAAGAGAAGATCCGTCGTCTTCTAATAAATGATATTCCATTTGTTTGAATTTTATTAATTCTGGTTTTCGATAGCTAAAGGTACACTCTTTATAAAAAATACTCCAGGAATTAAAATTGACTTTTGACATAAGGAACTATAACATGCCTATGGGTTTAATTTTTCTTGTTTCTGTGGCACGAAGATATTAAAAAAAAAATTATTTCCGCGGAAAAATTTGTAAAATTTCAAATAGATAACAACTATTTCAAAGAAATCAAGTCCATATTAACTTTTTATACCGAACCTCAAAAATCTGACCCATTGACAATATGTGAATTTACACTATTTGCAATTATTATGCTTCCTGTCAGATTGTCTCTCTATAACCCATACCCTACTATTCTCGCATAGTGGTCTAAGGATTTATATAGCGTAAACATACTATGCCGAAATAGTGCACGGCTTTATTTACTGAATAAAATTCTTCCTTGCGCACGCCGGTGAGCGAACTCACGACCATGAGATTGTTAGTCCGATGCCTTATCGATTACGCCACAGAGACGATCACTAATTGGTAGGATTTTATAAAATATAAAAACTTAATTCACACAATTGACACAAGAAGGAGAAAATAGACAAATTTTATTTGAAAACAGTTATATTATTTTAAGGAACCTTAAATTAATATGTTCAACAAAGTTTCAAACTAATTACATACAGATCGTTAGATGAACTGATTTCGTAGGGTCATTAAAACGCTTTTTTCTATGACGCTTGATTGAAGGATGTAAAAGACAATTATCAATGAGAATCGACGTCTGCAAACAAATAAGTCTTACAAACAAAACAGACATTAAAGATGAGTTGCTTTGGGACAGAAAATCCTGACTTATTTAGAGAAAATATACTAGTAATAACCAAAATAACTAAGCATGCAACCAATTTTAGCATGAAGATTTTGAACGAGTTCTTGCAAGTGCGCTGTGTTAGCACCGATATTTTCAGGAAAAATTCAAACGGATTGCCGCATAAATAATAACAACAGTCAGCCTCCGGCTCGTGCACCATGTGTCAAACCCTGCCTACTATTTAGGCATAGTACATGCATAATGCAACACTATTATTTAAATATCATTGTTAATTATACCCCAGCTTGAAAAGCGGGAGACTATATAGTAATTGTTATGTCCGTCCGTCCGTCTGTTACGCTTTGGGGTACCCATCTCTTATCCGCAACTCCTCTTATTTCTTTGAAGGAAATTTAATGAAACTTTCACAGAATCTTTATTGCATATTGCCACTGTGCACCTCCTATTTTACTTTATGATCTGACATATATTTTGGATTTTCCAGAGCAAAACATGGATACTGCCATTATATTCATATGGGAGGTGGGGGGGGGGTATTATTTAGTGAGCTCATTGCTCACTGTACCTCTAGTTTTATTTTAAAATCCAATTTGTCTTTCACAATGACAACCTTTATTACATGCATTAATTTAGACCCAATATTTACCAAATACATGTAAACGTATTAATTTTGTATTTCATATTGTGACAACCATTACGGAAGCTGCGTACAACCTGCAAAATGGAATTTCCTCAGCACAATATTAAATGAATTTTTCGTCTCTCATAAACTTGAAGCGTAGCAAACCACGCACACTGAATTACAGGACAGGTGGTGGATACTCCGAGCCGTATTGTTTTCGTGTCTTCTACCCATTCCCACTTTTTAAAAATCCCAATTCCACCTATTCCCACTTGCAAATAACAATAGATGTTAAGATAGTTAATTTGTTTTTACAGTAACTAGACTAATTACATCTGCTATTTTGATTTACCTGCATTTTATCATTTTAAGACACAAAATAATGAATACATCTATGTGAAAATATGGTTTATTTTCGGATTTTTGAAATAATAAAAAGGTCTTACAAGAAAAAGAAACTTAATATCTTAATTTAAGAACATAAAATTAATAGATTTATTGGAAAAAGCATTCAAATGGGTGGATTTTAGAATATATTAACAGAGAAAAATATAATTTATTTCTATTAAAAATCCACTTTCTCTTTCAAATATTAGCAAAAAGTCTGATTTATAATTTAATAAAGCAAATATATCTGTCCTCTATTCCAATAGGTGTTCATTAATCATTGTTTGTACAGTAATTATATGTTTTCACATTTAATTATTTGTTTACACAAAAATTCCACCTATTACCAAATAAAATCTTACATTTTTTTTACCTGATTTTCAAAAAGTAGGAATGGGTAGAATGAACTTTGTTTTATTATTTCCATCACAAATCGCTGCATTCAGTAATTTAGAGATTCAATGTACATCTCGGTCAAAAGTGGCCACTTTCCCGTGCTGTTGAAGATTTTAATTGCCCACTTGGTATTTTTACGAGTATTATGATAAACTGACCTAAGGATTTTTCCCCATCATAATTTCGGTTTCTACAGAGAATTACCATATCATAAAATCACAACCGTCATCCATGGCGTTCAGAATTGAATGGGCGAGATAGAATTTAAGTTCAAATAAAACAACGCGCTATACTTTTTGAATCACGTGCTCTTTTTTCATTGGTCGTATGAAATTGTACGATGTAATATTGATAGATAATGGCTTACCCAGTGCATTGGAATGTAGTGGGATCACATATTATAAACGTGAAGTTGATAGAACATTGGTTACTGATACAAAACATATAGAGTACCTTTTAACTCATGCATCTTCAGATATCAGACTCGGGGGACAAGCCACCTCTGCTGATATTTGAAGATACACCCATATAAAAGTACTGTATATGTTACATATTACGTCGGAATTAATACGTGTCAATAAATAATAATTATCAATGAAACACATTTTTTAAAAAGATGTAAAACTCTTATAGTCATATACGAGGGTTGATCCAAAAGTAATGTCTCAGTGTCCATATCTTTTATATTTGGCGTCATATTATCAAATATTATATACCAAAAGATGCACAAATATAAATTTAATTAAATTTTATTTTTTCATTCAATAATGTTTAACTGAATTTATTTTATAGATTTTTTAAACATATAAGATAGGGGGTGTCGCCGCGTCAAAACTGAACGTCAAAAATTAAAGTGTACTTTTTTAGTATTAAAAAGACAAACACTTAAAAAGCATATTTTAAAAGCGCCTAAACGCAAAATACTTTAAAAGACAAAAATTTGCATCATTTTCTAGTCTTAAATTGAAAATCATATGACATCACTGCTATTTTTATGAAAAACATCGTTGATTTATTCCGGTGCATTGAAAAAAGGAAATTTCAAAACGGACAAAAAAGCCAAAACAAACTGTAATGCATTTTTGCTTCAAAATAGAGAAATCGGCAGTAGAGACAGTTACGTTGATTCACCAGACTTTCGGAGGAAAGAATGTAAATAAGAGACTTGTTTAGATGGTTTCAGCGATTTTCGATGGGTGATGGGTCGTTAAATGCTCAGCAGATGACAAGAAAACCGTAAGATTGGAGGGCGGACGGAAATGTTCAATGGTGCGTGACGTTGTCAAAAGGACAGA